CACACTTCAGTTAAAGTCCAAGAGAAGTCATCCTGAGGTAATTTCTCCTGTAGGGCTTTTTCAGAACAGGAAGCACAGGCAGCCCTGGAGGCTTCAAAGCACCAGAGAAATGTATAATAGAAAATACAAACATATATTTAAAAATCCTTGACCAGCTTGCAGTGATTAGGTAATTTCAGACACCATCAAAAGAAACTACATTCCACAGAAAATGGAACCCTCTTTCATGAGGGAAGAAAACTTACAGGAAATTGGAGGACAGATTTTGGCACAGCACGAAAGTCCACCTCTCACCTGAAGCTGGAGCAAACATTTACCAGACCTTTTCCAAAGAAAGATTCTGAGATTCATTTTCTTACCCACTTTACAGATTTTTCTTTATATATTCCTCACTAGCATGGATATGTGTGTGTGTGTGGGTGGGTGCATGCACTATCCAACTCACTATTTCCCACAATGCCCCAGAACTACAGTAGATAATAAGTCATTGTGAAAGATACAAGTGGAAGTTGCTGTTGTCACTTGCAGTGGCAGCATCAAACTCCCAAGATGTTCCATAGGGGAAAAAAAGAACAAGAACAGCCAGGGGTGAAACCTACCTATGAGAAACTGTCTGAGAATTTGAGCAGAGAAATGGGATGAAATTGCCTCCCCTTTCTCTGCTCACAATTGTAGATGATTTCAATTTAAAACACCTTTTTCCAACCAGGTACCCACATATTATTGAAAGATGTTGGTTCTGGAAATACCTAATTAAATGGACCAAGTATTTATTTAGACTTAGATCTTACCCTATGTCCTGTACATTTTGAACTTTAGGCCTGTGGGCCAGTTCTAGTCTGCCCCCAACTTGTCCCACCTCTTTTCCTTTGCCACCTGTGCAATCTTCCCCCATTTTAAAGGTTGAAATGCCTTTCCTAAGGCTTTGAGCTACAGTATTCTGATGGTTGTGGTATTTCGGGCCCCAACTCAGTGCAGCCCACCACCAGAATGTGCACCCCAAGTTTCTCTAGAATTGCATTTGACTTTCAGACGGCAAGTGGTTCCCTGTCCCAATGTGTTATTTGGCATCAGCTCAAGATGATGGGAAGATTTTGGGCAAGTTGCTCTCAGTGGGCCTGCTCCAAGACCATCTCTTTGGTCATGCCCATTCATTTCTCCTCTGCCTGTGTCCCAATCTGCACTACTGCCCAGGAGGAAAGGCAAGGGAAGCAGAAGCTCCTCCTCCTCCTCGTTTTTATCAATGCTTATGTGCTTGGAGAGGACAGGTAGGAACAGGAAGATGGACCAATTTTAAGTGGGCTCTGGAAGATTATTCTAATCTTTGAGCTGCAATACTAGCCATGGGATTCTTAGTCTAATCTTTGATTTCTCTGTGAAACTACATTATCTGTAGTACTCCTCAATACTTTCTATGTAGAGGAATGCTGCTTTGTTTTTACCTTCTATCCTCCTTAGTGCTGGCTGTATTAAAAAAAACCTAACTCTGGATGAATAGCAGTGCTTCTAAATACGGGCTCCTGGAAAGTTAATGTCACTAAACTTAGCTATGTTGAAGCAGCAAAAGGTTTCCTTGGAAACCCATGACCTTCTTGGCCACTGTGGCAAGGAAAACATACACACTCAAGACAGACGAAACCCAAAAGTAACAAAAGTGCAATGATGGAGAATTTGTTTGAGCATCTTGCTAATCTGCATCCACCTCTCCTCATAGTTCTAACAATGTTTACTTCAGAACAGTGTTTTTCATGGTTGTATGGTTGTTGAGAAATCTTACAGGTTCATTTTGGAAAATATCTTCACTTCCTTTCCCAAGTATGATTAGCCATTTTTACAGAGTTCTAGTGATCACTGACTGATTCTATATATGTTCCTTGAATTCTAAGCATGAAATGGTCTACATTATACCCCAAGAAAAACAGTGATGCACATACAAGTGTCCAACTACCTTGTAATTAGGCATTGTACATCTAACTGGGCATTAGACATCATTTCCAGCTAGCCAATTAAAGTAATTTTTATGTGGTTCTCAACATTATCTCAACATTCCATACAAGAATCCTACGAAAGATAATTATCCTTGAGGATGAAAGGCTGATACCAAGAGATCATGGCTTATCAACAGCTTCTGACTGAGGTCATAGTAAAGATGTTTTGAAGCCAGAATAGAGTAATAGCAAAAATGCCAGGGAGACCCAGATTAAAATTTCCACTCAGCTATTTAAGTTCAATGGATGGGTGACCTCATAGCATCAATTTCCTTTTTCTTCTTCAACCTACCTCATATGGTAGTTGTAAGGTCAAAATGGAAGGCACACTATCTGGAGCTCTTTGGAAAAAAACAAGATTTAAATAAATCATAGTAACAACTCTTCCACTTAATTTACTTGGGAGAGAGTTAAATGAGATGTCATTTCCCATTGAAATAAAGAGGCCTTGAAATGCTGAAATGTTCATACCTGGTCTTATGAAACCGTTTTATTGACTGTAAAAGGCTTTGCGTTCTTGCTTTTTAAAAAGCAAGTTTGGGGAAAGAGAGGAGCAAAGCAGCAAAACATTGTAAAAATTTTCTTTCATGTTTTGAAACAACAAGCAAAGTAGCCAACCAAGGATTGCTGAACAGTTAAGGTTTCCTGCTTTCTTAAAAGGCCTCCCTTCATTTCTTTTCACTTAAGTAGGGACAAAGATGTTATGATTTGCCTGTTGTTGTCCTTCAGCATCCCCAACCATAATGGGTTTATTGCCAGGGATGTGGAAGGCTACAAATCCCTCACTTCTTAGTCAAGCCTAATCCTCAGCCCCAATCAAAATAAGAAATTTGCTCAGGATTCAACCCTCCTGCTACTCTGCTTCATATATTGTTTTCACCAAATGTGTCCCTCAGGGATAATTAATGGGAGAAACGCATATAAAATTAGTGGGGCCTTGGAGAGCCCTGACTGACACGGCCAAGTTTGTGTTAGTTGTTGAATAGAAGGGGAGTCCCATAATGAACTTTGAAGTTGGAGCTGGTGTGGGGAATCCAGATGTTGTTAGGTGGCAACTTCCATCAGCCCTAGCCAATTGTGAGACAGAATGGGAGTTGCAGTCCAACATCTGCATGCAACATGTCCAAGTGGTGAGAAAGGTAAACTACTCTGGCAGCAGATTGGATTCTGCTACACTAGCGCCGTCACCACAAGCTCCCTGGCATAGAATCCATCTCTCCCTTCTGTTCTTGAAGTGTTGTAAACCTAGTTTACTTAGCTGCTGACAAGAGCAATTGTCAGAATTAATTTAGGCTTATTGTACTGAGGTAATCTTTTAATGCGAACATGTCTAGCCAACGTGCTTCCCAGTCCTATAGCTATCAGTGGGAATGATAGTGTGAACCGCATACTTACTCAGATCCATAGAGTTCAATGGTATTTACTCTGAAATAAGCATGCACTAGATTCCAGTCCTCAAAAGGCTTAATTTTGGCTGAATCAATGTAATAAATATTGCTAAATGTTATTTAGTTATAAACTAAGAAAATTTGGTAAATTTTAGATGTAAAATATGAAAAACAAATCTTTTTGTTAGGGAAAATGCAACAGTTCTTGCCTTCAGGGATGTAAAAATAAAACTTAAGATACAACGAACTCCCCACCCCTACACACCCCAGTATTCAGTTTTGAAACAAGAATAAAAAGAAAAGAGGCAAGGGGGTTTAATTCTCAACTGGATAGAACCATACACACACTCGCTTTTGAAAATTCTTTATTCGTTTTCTTTTGCCTTAAAAAAAGTTATCAGTGCAACATTTCAGAACTTCCACTCCTCGTCCACCAAACACTGAGCAGTAGTTAATTTTAATTAGGAAATACTGAGTTCTGAAGCCAGTGGGTTATCATTTTGCTATTTATTTCCTTCTGTCAAACTCTGAAAAAGTCCTCTGTATAAATTAAACAAATGAAAAAAAATGTTATTCTCAATCCTAGGTCATCATTACAGCCAACAGAATCATAATAATGCATCTAAAATGTGTGTCCACAATATATCAAGGTATACATTTGGGAGGAAAAAACACAAGGAAAAAATATGACATTCTAGACTTGTTAAAAAGGATAATGGTCCCATATATTTATTAACAGGTTAGCAAAAACAAAACAAAACAAATCCAATGGATTACAATATTTACATGTTATTTGAAAAATAAAGTAGTGATAAAAGCATGTCACAATCATTTATTTCTTTTTTTTTATCTTTTTCATTTTTGGTAACCATTACAAACACCCAATCCAGGTATGGAACTGTTTAAATACATTTGAAATGAGGCCAATTAAAAAGAAAACATTCAGACACAAAATGTTTATTTATACTTGTCCTTCCAATGTGTTTTCCACATGACTCTCCCTCCCTCCAAATAAAAAAAAAATCCCAGCCCCACAAAATATGAATCCTCAAAATCAAAACACCATGCTTTTCAAGTAGCACTTATTCCACAAATGCAACAGTATTCTTCTTTTTTAATCTCATTTTTTTTTGCCATCAATTTGATGAGAAGTTCTGTTGGGATACTGACTTCTCAGCAGCTTCCTGTCTCCCGACCCGCCCCCATCCCCTACCCCTAAAGTTAAAGAAAGCGCCAAACAAAAAATGAAAAAGCAAAATAACCAAAGGAGACACATGCATTTCTAAAACTAGGTTTCAGTCAAGTACTTTCTACTTTTTGGGAAAGAAACCCCTTTGTTCACAATCAGACCATTACCCATGGGCCCGGATCTTCCGTTTCATATTCATGCAAAATATCCAAATACTTGTACATGAATAAGGAACGCAAGCTCAATTTCCATGCGTGTAGATTCCTATTTATGCTACGCTGTTCCCCCTCATGCGAAGAGCTAATGGGAGGTGATACAAAACAGTTTAACTCCCACCCTGAAATCCACAAAAGGTAGATCTCCTGGTTCCAAATATCATAGAACTGGGTCACCTCAAGCTTACAGAACTATGCATTTAGCAGCTAGCTCCCTCCCTCCTCCCCCCATCGCACCAAAACAAGACACACCACATTAAAAAAAAGGCAACCGTTCTTAATAACCGAAACAATAACCAGTGAGAGATGTTCAATTTGACAAGCAACAGAATGATTATGAGGACCCTTTTGATTGGTCCACAACCTGCATAGCTGTGCTGTAAGTTTGGTTCTTAGTTTAATGGTTTTTGTTTTTTCTTTAAAAAAAGTTAATTCTTTGCTATTTCCATATGTTTAAAACTAAAAAGGGGTGAAAAAGAGAAACATTCTATTCACAAGAACTAATCCTCCTTCCCAACCCTGTATCCTGGGTGGGAGGGGGACTAGGATGGGGAAATAACGTTACTTTACATGAAAAAAACCTTAATTGTGCTGTATTTGTAATCCCTCAGGCTGAGCAGACATAGACATGGGGCAAAACAAGAACGGCACAAAGTCAGTCACATGAGTCTTTTTAAAAAACACACACACACCCTAAAATCATAGCTGAACGCTAACAAACAGCTTACCTGGAATAAAAGATGACAAGTCACAGACAGGTATCTAGGAATTCTCTCTCTCTCTTTTTTGTATTTTTTTTACTAAAATAATTAAAAAAATCACAGTATTTTAAGAAATAAAACCCCCACAGGGATTTTGAGCACAATTTTGTTTTCCTTTCTTTTAAAACGTTGTGGTTTTGTTTCACTTCCATTCACCATCTTGCCCAGCAGTCTTTCTCCACATTTAACCACAATGACAACAGGTAGTACTGACAAATGCAGAGATTGTATTTTTTTTTTAAATTTCCCTTGGTTAATTCTGAGGTACTAGGAAACAGGTGACTGTTTTAAGCAAAAGCAGTTTTTTTGTTTTGTTTTCTTCTTCTAAAGCAAGTCAGTCAGTCAGTCAGTCTGGAAAAGCGTAATATGTATATTAAAACTAGAAAAAAAAAGCGCCCACATTTGTGCGCTGAAAGTTGTCCCCTGCATTCTTCCATTCTTGTGACACTTCCGTCGCCGAAACAATCCAAATCCTCCATGGCAAAGCACAGTGGCATCATGCAAGGAACATTTGGAGTTTGCTTCTCAGGTCCAAATGAAAGAAACTTCCCATGATCAAGATCCAGAAGAGTTGCAGAGACGTAATGGAGCCACATATGTCATCATCCTCAATTAAATAAATTTAATATATGTACACACGCACACGCACACACACATACAGGTACCAGTGCTTTGAAAATAGATCATTCAGTCCTAAAAGCAGCTTTGATTCTTCCTTGTCCCCCTCCCCTCCCCATCCCATCCATCACTGTTCAAGTAGGTTGTTTGAAATCACACCAGGTGCTCATTCGCTTTTGGCCTCTGCGTTCTCTTGGAGTGATTTATCAGCAGCAACAGCAACAATACAGACGGCAGGTTCATTCTTGTGGGAAAAGTCCACAACTACTTTCGCACTGCTTTCCATCTCTTCTGCCATTGGTACCTTAACATTCTCCTCTGCATTCTCTTTTGGCTGGCCATCTTCACTAATCACTCGGTTGGTTTCATTTACAGCCCTGGAAATTCAAACAGCAGGGAAGAGAGACATTTTTGACACAGGAATACAGAAGATGGGTTAAGCCACAACTGAGAATCTTTTCCCGCTAGGTAAAGCCAATGTTGTTATAAATTCTGGCAAGATGAGCCACATTCATCCATAGCAGCAAACACTGCAAAGAGCCATGAAGCACTATAACGGCTAACCAATTTGTAGCGGCATAAGTTTTGCCTGGAGCTGCTGTGCCTACTTTGTCATATGTGTGAAACATTCACCTACATGAGAAGGTATAACAGAAGTACAGAAAAAATATGAAGAATACAGATTTTTAAAACAGCAAAATTAGGTGCAAAGGTCAAGCAATTTAAGAAAGATCTGTACATGTGTGAAAGTATTAAATAGAACACAAAACAATACAGAATCCAACCTGTCATATAAGAAGTAAACAGTGCGGGCTTAAACCCATTCCCAACTAGCAGTGCTGGGAACGAACAGGTATAGCAATATTGTCATAACAGTAAGGGAACATTTTGGTCACTCAGAACATTCTTTAGCAGTCCTAAAGGAGACCTAAGAAAAATGTTTGGACTCCATTGTGAAGCCGCTGTATTGGAATTCATTCACAAATCTAACTCATTACAGAGAATCTTAGGTGTTTGTATGTATGATTCATCTTGCTATGCATATTCATAATCAGTGGCTGCTAGTTAGGAACAGGTCTGACCTATGCATCTTGTGTTAATTCAATTGGATTTTATACACTGTTGTGCTCTGCATAGTGCAGGTACACACCTGCTGATAACTCTGCATGGTACAGTTGTTTGGCTTCATTTTTAAAAATACAGCAACAGTGCAATACCATCTGTTTTTCTTCCCTCCATTCTGAACTCAGGCCACACATGACGAATTCATACATTGGCTGAATTAGGCTCTGTCATAAAGCCTTTTATGGCAATCAATTTGTTGGCCTTTGTGGTTTTACAAGACATGTTAATGTTAGCATAGAACCTGTCTATTGGAAGGGGTCAGGGTAGATAAGAAAATTCAGTGGCAGCCCCTAAATAATCATATCTTGAGTGCAAGAGATTCCAGACATACTGAAGATTATCATACAAACTAGTTTCAGAAGGAAGGCTAAATACTTTGTACCAGTTCTGCACGAAGAAAAGCTAGAGTATACCATATGCATGTATTATGCTAATTAAGCAATCATGTACATTCGCCTAATATGAGTATAGTGTTACTATTACTGATACTGTATGTTCTTTACTGATCCATGTCAGATGTTATGGTCACTTAATTTTTGATACGTTTTAAATAACTGCAAATGAGTTTATTTTGAAATATTTCTATACTGATTTTCATTTTTAAAAATCCCAAGATTAGTAAAATAAAATTGTGACAAAATACTGTAAAACCACTCTGTAAAATGATAGCATAGCAATAACACAATAAAGTATCTAATTAATATAACTAGAGGTAGTTGGCAATGTTAGCAGAAGGAAAAACTCTGGGCAAACAAGTCTGTCTACAGTTCTCACACCATACCTAGTCCGCCTGATCCCACTGGGGAAACAATTCTACATGGTGGGTCTCACAATGGCAAAGCACCTCCTCCACACCACAGTCAAGTGAACATTACCCAAGACTGGTAATGTTCCTCAAAGACTGGGGCAGCCTATAGAGGAAAAGGTGGATTCTCAGATATCCTGGCCCTGATGTGTTTATAAACAATCAGTAAAGCCATGAATATGGCTTGGTACCAAAATGACATCCTGCACTGAGCTTTCAGCACAGGAATCCTATGCACACAGCAGGAACCTTCACTGCACCGGCTAGTCACTGCATGTTGTATTACTTGTAACTTGCCATCCACTCACAAGGGCAGCGTCACTTAGAATGCTTTAAATAGCCTGATTTGAGGTTAAGAACACATGGATTCGCTGTCCAGGAATGGTTGTAGCTCTTGTACCAGCTGAAGGTGGCAACAGACACTCCTTGCCATTGAATTGCTTATGTTACTCTGTAAGGTATTGTTATGCCTATTGAAAGAACAAGCTGCCTACCTGTAACTGGGGTTCAAGCAGTCACCTGTGCATTCACACATGGGCTCTCCACCCATTGGTCTTAGGAAATTTTACAGCTCAGGAATGTTTGGCAGGAATCCTTCCCCACTGGCCTGGTACACATGTCCCCAGCAGGTTCCTGCCTATTCCCTCAGTTCCTTGAGATGGCCTATTGTTGTTCAGAACTGAAAGAAAACACTCAGTACAAACACCAACACTAGAAATGAAGGCTCAATACCAACATTGACACTGCCATGTAAGTTGGGATGGTGGATATGTTGTGTGAATGCAGAGATGCCCAGGCACAGAACCACTACTATGGGTAAGCAACCTGCCTTTTTTCTTTGGGGCCTCTGTGCATCATAGATATGAGTGAGCAGCAAGCTGACTTATCAGAGGTAGGTCAAGTTTTACTTTAGTATATGCACAGTTGAAAGAGCTGTCAGTCATCACTCACATTTCCAGTCAGTAATGCTAAATAAACATTGATGGGTCAAACCAAGTTGAAAGCATGGCATAAGTCTGACAGAACCACACGGCATCCAAACACTACCAAAGTTTCTCTAGTTGAATGACCGCAGCGTGTGAAGTCAGCTGCTTTATGTGCTAATCTGATGGTGTGGACAACCTAAGAAGTAAAGTCCTGTGAGGATCCAATCAAGCTTTTATGTGTCTATCAAGCCTAGATGACTGAAGGAAACTTTGTTCTTGCAGGCTATCAAGGGTATAAAGGGCAGTTTCCACAGCTGAAGAAGGACAGGCAAAGAGAACAGGTAGAACCATGTCCTGGTTCAGATGGAAGTCAGATACTACTTTCGGTGGGAAAGCAATGTCTGGACAAAGAACCATCTTATCTTTATGGAAAGTCATATAAAGAAGTGTCGATCCTTAAGGCACACAGCTTACTCAGCTGACAAGCAGACATGACAGTTACTAAGAACACTACCTTCCAGAAAAGGAGACAAAGGTCAACTGTCACAAGTGATTTGAATGGTTTTGATGTCAATGCTTGAAGCACAACTGACATGTTCTACTGTGGCACTGGCAGTTGAATGGAAGGCATAAGGCTCAGAACTCCTTGAAGGAATTGCCACACTAGAGCATGTGGAAACACACACATGCAAAAAATCACTTCCTGATGAGAGGCTAAAATGACTGCAAGATAAACTCAGATTAAATGATGTTTCAGACCATTTTTAAGCAAGGAAAATAAACACTGAAGAACATGTTGCACAGAAAAGCATACAGGGACAAAACCAACAGTAGAGGAAAGAAAAGAAAACATTTTCTTCCTCCTGACATAAGAAAATTTAGTAGCTAGCTTCCTGGCAGTGTCCAGGATAAGTTGAATTGATGAAAGTTCAGGTAAAAAGTATGTATCACTATAGTCTTCAAGCTATCAGCCAGAGCTTGAGCAGGTTCAGTCCCAAACGAGAAGAGTTGGTATTGATGGAAGTCAATGATGCTCCATCCACTCAAGTCCTGTGAAGAAGGGGCAAAATTTTGGACTAGCTCCTGCCCTGCTGCAAAACCTCACGCATATCATATTTTCTGAGGTTGTGAACAAACCTTTCATAGGAATGCCCCACTGATGAAACAATGACTGCAAAAACTTTGCATAGGTCTTGCAAGAACTGGCTGAGCAAGTCTGCAAATACACTATCCATAGCAGCAACTCGAGCAACCAGCTCTATATTCTGAGGGACAGACTTGTCAAATATTCTGAGTGCTAGGCTGGTAAGCACAGTAGATCTCATTCCCTGCTGCCTGTTCAAATAAAAGACCACTATGGTGTTGTCTGTTTCCATTTGAATTTGTTTGCTCCTGAGGTGTGACTCAAAAGCCCTGAAAACTTTTTGGATGGCTAAGTTTGAGGAAGTTAATATAGTAGATGGAATTGGCTTCCATCCAGGTCCCCTTTATCTTCAGTGCTTCACAAAATGAGCACCCTTGCGGACTAGGGATGTGTCAGGTGTAATTACTATGGATATAAAAGGTTGCAAGAAGAGCACTCCCAGTCTTGAAAATTGGTATGACATGAGCATCATCAAAGCAAGGATGCTACTTTAGAAGATAAGTGTGGAGACATTTAGTGAACCTTTCCATTTACACCACAGGTTTGTCTGAAAAAGTTTTCTAAAGGTCTTAACCAAAGATGAATGAAGCTAACAACTGAGATGGTGGCTGCCATCAGTCCTAATTACTACTGAATGGTGAACACAGTAGCAACACATTTAAGAGCAAATTTGTTGCAAAGGTGGGAATCTCCACTGCCCAATTCCAAGAAAGATTGGCTCTTTGATTGAGTCCAGACTGAGTCCAGATCGAGTCCAGATCAGCTCTTTGATTGAGTCCAGAACCAGGCCAATATAGTGAATGGTTTCAGTAGGCACAAGAACAAACTTCTAATTCATATAGAGTCCCAGAATCTTTAAGAAGTTGCAAGTGATGGATATTGTCCAAATAAGTTCTGCCTCCCAGAAACAATAATCAGCTAGTCATCCAGGTGAAGATAGATTTGTACTCCCTGGGTGCAGAGATGAGTACACACCACTAATAAATAGCATTAGTGCCATTGCTAGACTGAGGGGCAGTACTTGAAATCGATACTCCTCGGGTCCTATAGTGAGCCAAAGATAGCGCTGGCTTTTGACATGTAATGTGGAAATATGTGTCTTTGAGACTGATGGAAGCCAACCAATTATCTTTGGGCAGACAGTGTAATAATGATACCCAAGCTAATCCAGAAATTCTTCGGTGTGATGAAAGGCAGAGCTCCATACTAGAATATAAACATCTTGTAGATAGCTAGATAGCTAGTCAGCTAGACAGACAGACAGACAGACAGACAGACAGAACTGATGTTCCTGTGGTCCAGGAACAGATGCTCTCCATGTGTGTATGGTACTGTGCAGTATCAGGAGTATTGATATAGAATCACAGAAGAGTAGAGCAGGGGCCAGGAAGACCACTGGGTCTAACCCTCTGCTCAATGTAGGGCTCCATGTTAAAGCACCCATTAGATCATTCTTTTCACCATGTGGGAATCTAGCATCCAACTGTAGCACTGCTAACAATATTATGGATGTTACCAAACAGTGGGAGGGCCTCACATCTGATTGTGTTGCATCTGTGGATGATGAAGAGGACCCAGAGTCCAATGTTATAAAGGTCCATGTAGGAGAGAAAAGAGACAGACAAAAGAAGGAGCAAGATGGAGATACCAAAAACATCATTTCCTGTTGGCTACACCCTTCTTTGCAGAATTACAGAATCTAAGGGGTTTTGCCTCAGTATTGAAGATTCTTTTTCTCAGAATGGACAGTGTCCTTGCTACCAAAGCTGAAAGTGTGGTAGCTGACAGGATAGCTAAGGCTGCATATATGAAGGTGGAAGGTGCTAGCCAAGACCCATCTTCTTTGCCATGGTATTTACTTTTTGGCATCTACAGACTGTTGGTCTTAACAGTGAAAAGCCCATCCCCATCAAAAGGCAGATCTTCTATGTGCAACTCTAATCCTAACTCTAATCCCTGCATTAAGCCTCCTGGAAGTGGCCAACTGACCATACAAATGCATGCCATCTTAAGGCCATTGCACCTTGGTAGTCTTGGTGTCATGATTCATTTGATGTTGGGAGGTGTTTATCTGTTGGCATGATAGGTGCATCACCTCTGACTAGATCAACCAACTCTTGTTGGTCCTTTGATAGGTAACTGCAGAGAGACCCTATCTTCTCTCAAAGAAAATAAATAGTACTGGAATGTGGCAGCTTGGTAGCTTAAGACTCTAAGACGTAGAAGGAGATCTTATGACCCATGAGGCTTAGTTGTTGACCTTCCTTTTCCATGGGAGAAGAGTAGGTCTTCTGCAATTACTCTTGCAAACACTTTAAAGTGACAGTGTTAGGCCCTGGATGGGGAAATAGGAAACTTGCATCCTTTTCTTGGATGCACATTTTCCAAACATTTTGAAGTCTGAGTATGGGTGATGTAACTTTGCAAGATTGCTGGATGGTTTGCTATAGCATCCCATACTGCTCCTAGTGTCAATGCCTCCTTATCAAATGACTGAAAAACAGGTCCTTGATTTCAGTATCAATTGTTGTATTTTGACTAAAGACTGGGCCATCTGGAGAACCTGATCTGTGCATTGTTCCATGAGAAGCTGGTTCCTGGGCTCCTACCACTCCACATGGCAATGATATTGATAGTGTCATTGATGAACAAGATTTCATGTCAAAGTGGTAATTCTCCACAGTTGAATGTGGTGATGTATCCAGTCACATGGTTCTATCTGCAAGAAGTCACAAGGGGTCACTTGAACAGGTATGTTCAGAGAGGGTGGCCTTTGGTCTGCAGATAAAGGAACTGCCAAGTTTGTTGATGGCGGGATGCAGCTTGTGATTTCTGGCAAAGGTCTCAGCAACAGAACCAGAAGGGATGACTGGAAAATGTCTTCCAAAGGAGGCCTGCTCAATGACACCAAGGAAGCAGATTAGTACTGAGAAAATGCAACATCAAGATGTGGGGCCCGTGCTGATAATAGGCTGCACATTCACGTCTTGACTGCCAATCCTCCCAGTATTACTGTTGCTAAAATATTAATGACCACTCTGTCCTAATCAGAAATAGAGAAATGGGACTGCTGTAGTCTCTGAAAGATCATTCACCTCTTCCTAACAGCAAGGACACCAATGCTCTGGGGTTTATGGATCCTCCTTAGTGCTGAGGAACACTGAGAATGGATGTGAACAATGGGTGCAGCAACCTCACCAGTCTTCATCCCAAACTGGGCTGGGTTTTCTGATTTTTTCCTCCAAAAAGGGTAACAAGAAGGTAACAAAACTGGGTCCTGTGATGGTATAGATGTAACCTCTGGTACTGGAGAGCTCAATAACGGAGACAGTGGAATCCACATATATTATGTATAAACACCACTTAGAAGAACTGTTTTGTGAACTACCTGAACAAAATGTTTTTGAGGAAAATGCAGTATGAAAATAAACTGACTACTATGATTACTTTGCAAATGTATGTACAAGTGATTGTATAAAATATGAGCACAGTTCTTCACTTGGCATAATTTTTCCTGTTTCTCTGAGTCCAAGAGCAATGAGCTATGTAAGAGATCCAAACCAGTCATGGAATTTTCGTGTTGGAAGGAACTCTGGAGGTTATGTAGCCCAATCTATGGTTCCAATATATTACTAAGACTCCCTCAATTAAAATGCCAATTGTCAGTAATGGGAATGATGGTCAAGATTAAAATATAACACCCATTTCAATGGTTCTCCTACTTTTGATGCAGCCATCCTTCACAGTTCAAGCCCTATTGTTCCTTCCTCCATCTCTCTTTTCTCATCTGCCCCACTTCTCAGCATCTTTAATATGGCCAGACATGGCCCCTAAGAACGAATTTGAGAAAACCATAATAAAACTAATTAGCATATCAGGCATTGATACACTCCACACTGGAAGAAAATTGTCCTCTGTTCATAATATACCACTGGAAGGGACAAACATTATTGCCTTTATCTGTTATGCACAGCTTACCAACTTACATGCCATGCCTAAGAACATGCCGTTCCCACTCAGAGCCCTCTGCAAACGTCCGACCACAAAATTCACATGGGAAACGTTTTTCTGGGGGTCCATTCTCTGAAAACCTCATGGATCCTACAGGAAAGCAAAGTCTATGTTAGCTTTGAAGAAGAGTCCATATAGTTCTCTTTAAAAAGCAGAACATGAAGTTTGTTTTGAAGTACAACAAAATGTATTAGTATTGCATCATTTCAATTCTATTGAAATTCATTTCCAATAGTTGAAACTATCTATGCAGTTTATAAAAATTACAACCCATCTTATAATAAAAGCATGATATAAAATCTCTAATATACAACATTTAAAACAATGCAAACAGTTAAAAGTTCTAAGATACTGAACCTGCTAAAAGCCACAACACAGGTGCCGAACAGATGCCTTGGAGCAAAAGAAAGTTTTAACCTGATGCCAAGAACATGAAGGTAGTGGCACCAGGTGGAACTTAGTAGGGAGAACATTCCATAATTGGGTGTCACATACCTTCTCCCTTCTTTCCTTCCAACCAATCCAGCACAAAATGTTTGTTATTAAAGTTTTTATTATGCTAAAGCTTACCAGCCAGACTGGCTCAGTGATATAAAAAAGAGTATTGCAGAAGTCAAGACAGTAGCAAAGTTATGATACTGGCTATTAGAGAAACATGGCTTAATAAAAAAGTGATTCCAAACTGAATCAAAACAAAATGGAACGGATTCCACTTTCAAGGTGGTCCTTGCTGCTTCTGACACTTTTCAATTTGCCTACTCTTTTCACCTGATGTCACCTCACCTCTGTAAGCTCAACTAAATTTTCCACAGAGCATGAAACTGTGTAGTTCTCAACAGCATTTTGTTTCATCTCTAAGTTAGTTGGCCTTGGCATTTCAGCTAAACATTCCAATCTCATCTTTTCTTTCTCTCATCTTTGAATCTGAGGCACAAACTTTGAAGGCTATATTAATGGAGAAGATGGCCCAATCCCCCACACTGAGTGCCACCACTGAGTACAGTCTGCTGACTTGTACTTTTGAGCTTCTTTCAGAGGAAGTACTCAGAAGAAGACTTCAGAGGTTGACTGTAGTGTCCAGGTAAGTTCATATAAAAACAAATAATTTCTCTCAAAAAGAAATCTGAGATGGGAATCCTGCACAATACCTAGTCTTACATTAAATTAGCACCAATAATCTAATCTAATAATTTAGGGCAGCAATTGGCAATTTTTAGTGTACAATTACGAAGATAATTCACCATTCATTCTGTTGTCTAGGGATGATGGGAGCTGCAGCCCTCTACATGTTTTAGGCTGTAACTCCCATCATCCCTAGATAGCACAGACAATGGTGAAGGAATTACAGACAAAAACACAGCAGACTACAACCTGACCACCTCTGTTCTAACTTATTGGGAATACAGAAACAGTTGTGAAGCATCTAATAGTATAAAGGTGGGCTGAGCTGTGTAATTCACAACTGAAACAATACACACAGCCAACGAATGAGAGCCTTCATAAAAGCTTTAAATCTGGGGTCTAAAAATTGGCTGGAAAATTTCATTTCATTTATATATCCTTTCAGACTTATCAGTCTTATCTTCCACTCCAAACCTAATTGATTAGTCATTAATCTCATATTTCCCATTTTATTTCTACCCTCAAAATTATCTTCTCTCCAATTGTCTGCTAGCTTGTCCTCAAAAACCCCTAAGAATTTAAATTATGTAAAGAAACAAGATCAAACACAGAATTGCCAGTATTCAGAAAATAGATCTAGACATTCCAATGCCTTGAAGAGGAGCAGAAAGGTAAGAGTTGTCTTGCTTCTTCAACTCTCTGTCTTATCAAAACAGATACTCATCTACTTTGCTGAGGAATGTTGGTGAAATCTGCAGCAGATGCAAATAAGTTCAGATTTCTTTGACTCTTCCTTGTGGATTCTGTAGTTCACTTTTAGTGGGGATTAGTGCTAATATACATTAGGTCAAGCAGAATGAAATTCAGGCTATACAAATCTGATTCAATCAGTGAGAGGACAATAAAGAAAAAATGCTTGACAAGACAAGGACAGAACCGATTTAACAAAGTCAGGATATCCCTAATGTAGCCCGTAACATCAATGCAAAGGAATAGGAGGTATGACAGAAGGTATTTTTCACAGTGGCTATATTCATATGCCATGGTGAGCTAGAATAGCTGATCTAGCATGGTTTATTGTGAACAAAAAGCTGTTTGCTCCCACTTTGCTCCCTTTGTGTTAATGGAGCAATGGGAAGCTTAATATGATTTCCAGACCCAGTCTCATAAGTCAGGAATAAAATAGGCTTTGTTTTTGGCTTATAAATCCTTGCTTGTGAACAACAAACCAGGATCCTGGATTTTGATACCTTATGAACCCATTTCTGGTTTGTTCTACCCACTTGTGCAAAGGGAAGAGTGAATGAGTTGTGCAACCAGCATAATACAGTAATTCTAGCTTATCATTATGCTTCCATTGTTATAAATTACTGATGCAGTATTCACAAAAATGTGTCTTTTTGAGGGTTCTTTCATGGGGACATTATAGTCCTTGAACTGGCTTGAAAAACTAAGGACAGCATTCTTGCTTTTTGTTATGTGCAACCATCTTTTTCTGTGGTATCACACACAGGCAATCCAAAAGAGAGGAACAGCTGCTGGCACAGTTGCTTCCTTTGAGCACTGGAACTTCACAGTGCAATCCCTTTGGACTGAAATGATTTGGAGTTTTGCCACTGGATTTAATCAGAGATGGATAGCGACCACAGTTTTCGGACGTATGAGCCCTAATATGCAGCATATTCCTTGTGTGGGTAAAACTTGCTTGCCTTGACACTTAAAACAATGGGCATGATCCAGCCAGCAAAATGTCCCACTAAATTTAGTGCAAAAAAGCTATTTATGCTCTTAACTCAATGGGACTTAGAGGTGCTTGAGCTTTTGCTGGACTGCACCCTGTCAGGTATAATCGGGCACTCTCAGCTTCTTGAAGGCACAGTGGACACTCCACATGGCTGAAATGCAGACCCTTTGTGAATGAGAGAGCATGCTACTAAACAAAAGATGAAACGTTTTCTCTCAAAATTAAGATGATCACCACACAGGCCATGAAAAATAATTGCTTGGACTATCTCACTTGATTCTTTTCACTGGAAATGAGACGGTGCCATCTGCTCTAAGCATTAATTCTTTAGTGGGGATTATCTTGAGCAAGAAAACAACAGAATGCCAATGCCTCTGCCTTCCCAGAGTTCTCTCAAAGTACATAATGAAAGAAATGGGGATTTTGCTTCATTTACTGCTGATCTCTGTTTGCCTCATTTCCACGTTTTTGTATAATGTACACAGCTTATGAGCCAACTTAAGCTACTGACAATCTTTCTCTCTTGTGTGCTCACGGAGTGATTGCCATTCTTTCTCTGGGCAGTTTCAGTGCTAGAAAAAGATGTCATTACTTTCTTTTCAAAGCATTTTCCCATACATCAATAGTTTATATGACCTATCAAGAAGTCTAGATTATGTTAAAGCAGCCTTCTCTATCCAGCATCCTCCAGCTAGGGATGCTGGAAGTTGTAGTCTAGCATATCTGGAAGGCAACAAGTTGGAGACAGCTGTTCTAGCATGATTTTTGTCTTCTTAATGCTACAAGTGTCTTTGATAAAATGCTTATCCTTACCCACTTTACATATTTCACAGTTTGTTCCCCTAATGGAGTTACAATTTGGACAGGGAATGGGGGAGGCTATCTGCTGTTTCTCTAAAAACTCAAAATTCTGCCATTGAAAATTAACGGGGGCATTACATAAATGCACTGCAATAAGCATGCTCTATTGCATACATACATTTAAAATATATGCATTGCAAATATATTGCATACATTTAAAATTTATCTCCACTGCTCCAACTCAACCCTTCCTTTTCAATTTGGAGTTCTACTGACACATTAGGACACTGGAAAACATTACAAGAGGGTAATCATTTGTACTGGCTAATAGTCATGATTATGGAAAAGAGGTATTTCAACAGTTCTTAGTCCGACATAGTTAAGAATGGAATGTCTGTGTTTTGAATTCAGAGGCAGCAAACCTTTGTTTACCAGATCCTAGAAAAAATCAAAAATCAAAAAGCTTTAAAAATATAGAACCAAAATCAACTCCTCTGAATCAAGAATGTCTGCTGAACTGAGAGCAACAGAAAACAAAGAGCTACTATAGTTTTGTGGCTAACAAGATGAGCTGAGTGTCATAAAATTTCCCATTCAAATCTATTATCTACCATGACCTTATTGAGTGAACTTTCTCAGCCCCTTCCCCCAATCTGCAATATGGAGATAATGATACTGGCTGCCTTACTGCAAGGAAGCTACAAGATTGGTAGAATTAGGGTATGTGAGATGCTTAGAAAGCAATCCAGAGTTAAGTGTTATTATGAGATCTGTGTTAAACTTGAATAGACAAAGACCATGGACTCCATAACCTCAGAACTCTGTACCTGAGGTTTTGACCAACTTTGAATATTGCCCTAGCATATCAGAGTTGTGGTTGTGCACTTTCCTGCCTGCTACATGAATGTATGGAGCTGCCACCAATAGATGCCCCTGCAGAGAAAACATGAGGACTGAGACCATTAGAAGGTCTGTGTATACAAGCTCTGACTTTTTGTTTCTTAATGCCATAGATAAAACACAAAAGTCTCTCTAAAGACTACTCAGTACCTTTTTCAGTGGTGGAATTTCACCCTGGAATTTCCTTCCCAGACAGATGTATCTAGCACTACCACTGTTATATTTTTAGCAAAAGGATGAACAAACACTGCAGGATCCAGATGTGCAAAGTTGACTGAGACTTACCTAGAAGATTCATAGTTTTAATTGCTACCAAAGGTGCTCATATCAAGTTTGGACTCGTGTGTGTGTGTGTGTGTGTGTGAGAGAGAGGGAGAGTAACTGTCCTGCGTTGAACATTTTGTATACATCAGGTGGTAACAATGCCAATTAAACCCATTTTAGTTCTAGGTTGTAACAGAACAAAATGTGGAAAAGTCAAAGTGTGTGTGTATGTGTGTGTGTATAATTCTGTATGGCACTGCATATGTTCATGTTAACTGAAACCTTAACTGAAGACTATAAACCTAGACTAACAGTTTCAGGTGGCCATTCAAAAAAACAGCTCTTCATCATTTAAAAGTTACTGTAAACCTTTCAATGGGATCCAACTGTTTCTTCTTTCTCTGAAACCATCCTGGACTCTAAAGCACATAATAGGTTCTGAGCGATTTGTCAACCACTTCAACCACCCACCTTTACTGGGTTCAATGTCACAATAAGCTGTGTTTGGCAAAGGTAATTATTGCAAGTCAGCCAGCATGCAACCCACAAATAAAGGTGATTAAAAAGCCACTGTGGTAATCCTGCAATTATGCAAAACTAGCCCAGATACTTGATTTATATTTCTGCTCTAGCTGTAATGATCTTAGCATTCCTGAAGAAGAATCCTGGTGAGCGACAAAATGTTGCTTTTTGGAGGCAGCTGGAGGCAGAATTATTATGGGCATCGGAGACAAGACAGCAATACTGACCTCTTCCTTCTGTCTTGGGACTCATTTCCTCTTCCTTTTCTTCCTCATCGCTGCTGGAACTCTCTGCTTTTCCTTTCATTTGCTCCAACTGATCTAAGTTAACCCGTCCAACCAGCTCAAAATTTCGACTCACCTTTGGAGAATAAAACAATATAGTAGAATCTCATTTATTTGGATGTCCCTACTCCATACACCATGCATGTCTGTTACTCAGAAGCACTTCACAACTGACATAGTAAATATACATTTTACTAACAAATTCTGTGAAAATTGAGCAGACCATGAGCCAGGAAAACACTGAAGAAATGGCTTGAGCTAAAGGAATGAATCCATAATAGTATCATCTCAATCTAGGGCAAGGCAAGATCCTTAACGGAAAACCAGAATGCATTACATCCAACTTCACATGAGCAGATGTCTGCTTGTGCAGCTTATTTTTATTGTGTTCTTCTCTCACCTGCAGCATCCTACATGTCCCCCAAATCTGCTGTACAGGTCCCTCAGTCCTCTGATGCGTATTAGAGAGCTACCCAGGGAGATGCACAGGAAGGGTAAAACTGTTCTGCAAGAAGTTTATGTTCTGTTGGTATGCATTCAAAGGATATTTTCAAGGTATTATGTTTTATAATACCTTTATATTTGGTCTTGTACCTGAACTGAAACAGCTGTATTTGGTCACACAAAAATAGCTAGGTTACACACCTGCAACTGTCATTCTTCGAGTGGTCATCTGTACATTCACACATATGAGTGCTGCATCTGTGCAGTGTGACATTTGGGAAGATCCCTCTAGCTAAGCCTAGAATTTTTGGCAGGAGCCCCCCCCCCCCACCTTCCTCATTATATAAATAGGTGGCTTCTTACCATTTTCTCAGTCCAATTGGAAACCAACATTTACCCTTTTTTCTAGGTTCCTGACTGTACAATCACTATCTAAATAGTAGGTAAGGGGAGAGAAAAAACATCCACTGACACCGATGTAGGGCCAGCAGGTGGGTTGTGTGAATGCACAGATCACCACTTGAAGAATGACAGTTACAGCTACGCAACCTGTCTTTCTTTGTTGTGGTCTCTGTGCATCACACATATGGGTGACTAGCAAGCATACCAATTAAGGAGCTGGGAGGTGTTGTTACAACATAATGGATGACAGCACAGCCTGACCAAAGGAGCAGTCCTGTCTGGCTCTCACATCGAGTCATGGCAAGTCCAAGTCTGATAGGTAATACGTTAATTAAATCGTCTCTATAATCCAGTGTATCAGGCATTGGGAATCAAGAAGCCTGCCTTTGGAGCGGTCTGCATATCTGACGAACCGTTGTTTTGTTTTGTGAACTAACTCGGTTCAGGACTGGCAGAAGCTAGCATGCAGCTAATGGTGAGTACATGCACCACTCTTTCAATGCTCCTAGATGGGGATGGGTAGAATGCTGGGAGCACGATTCCTTGATTTACATGAAAGGAGGAAGAGACTTTAGAGAGGAAGGACAGATTGGTATGGAGTACCACTTTTTCTTGTGGAAACTCAAATATGAAGGATCTATCCATAGTGCACAGTTTGCTCACTCTACGAGCTGAAGTGATGGCCACCAGGAAGGAGACCTTTCAAGAGATGAGGCAAAGGTTCATGGTGGCAGGTGATTCAAATGATGGCTTCATCGGTGCATGTAGTACTATGGATAGACTCCCACTAGGGACATGGATTGGATGGGAGGATTCAGGTTTTTGAGGCCTTTCATGAAGTGTTGTGAGAGAGTGTAAGAGAAGCTGAGAAGACCTCAATAGGACCTCAAAACTTGCAGACTGAGCATAGGTATACCTTGATAAAGGTTGGCTTAAGCTCTTTTTGGTGCAGGGACTCTAGAAACAGTTTATTTTGTATGGCTGCCATAGTTGGGTTGAAGAAACGGTCCTTCACGTAACCTCCAAACTTCACCCATTTAGATGAATAAGAGCATCTGGTAGTTGGATGCAATACTGCTTGGAGAATGTCTCAGATGCATGGATCCAAGTAAGCAGTTGTGGTCATCAAGTAATTGGGGGGATCATTCAGGAAGTTATTAGTGGAGATGTGTGCTGTCATTCCACTTTCATTCTGGATGTTAGATGTGGTTTTGGATGGGAGTAGGAGCTTGTAGTTGGAGGGAGATTGGGGTGGTAGTTGTGGCCATTGAGCAATAAGCCTTGCTGCTAGGCAAAGCCTTTGAATGTTGGGGTTTAGTATTTTCCCCCATGCCTGGGAGAGTGAATCTGGTAGGCAAAGGAAGTTGTGTTTGGAGTGATGCAGCAGGGATGGAAACCAGCACTGCCTGGGCCACCATTGCATTATCAGGGTGGCTCATGTGTAGATACTTCTCATTTCTGGTATCGTCCTCGTGATGAGAAGTGGAGGGGAGGCACAGTAGAACAAGGAAGGCATCCTCCATGGAATTCTTGCCAATTCCCACTCTGGAACAGTAGTGGCTGCATGCAGCCTGTTCTTTCATAGCAGAGAAGTCTGTAGATGGGGTTCCCCATGCAGCAAAGACGTTTAGGATCTCTGTGTTGAGTTCCCATTCGTGAACTTGGAATGGTGTGTATGTTGTATGTTGGCACTGGGGGTAGTCAGGATGGATGCTAATATGAATGTATGCATCCTTCAGAACAATGGATGCAAACCAGTCCCATGTTTGGTAAGGGTAAGGAGCCTAAGGGGGCAGTTGGAACCAAACACAGCCCGATGAGGAGTGAGCATGATCTACTGACTTACCAGGTGGAGATGGAATGGCACACATCCTGAAAGAGGGCATGGCTTGCTGGCCGGAACCTTGAAAGGAACACTCCACATTGCAACATTTCATTTCATGTCCTACTTGTCTTGGCTAATAAGTCATCGCCCAATTTATCTTCCACGATAATGACTAAGTGCTTTTAATGCCCTAGAAGCTGGCAATGAGCACTGCACCATGTAGCAGTGAAATTCTGAGGTTAATTATATGCTGAATAAAGTCCTACTTAAAAGGGTGCCGAATTATTGTACTTGACATGGCTGTAGCATGTGGATGATCAGCATTTGTCTTCAACGGCTTGGAATATTAATATGCAGCATATGCACTGGAGGGCATAGGTAGCATGTACTCACCTTATGCTCATCTCGAAGATGAGCATCCAGCTCATCTGTGTGCTTGGTCTCATAGTAGCAAAGTTGGCATTTGTACGGTCTCAGCTCATTGTGCTTCTCTATGTGTTGCTGTAGGCTCTCGTCACTGGAACAGGTGAAGGTACACTTGTCACAGCGGAAAACGACTCCCTGCAAATATTTGGACAGCTTGGAACGGCACACTTCTATGGGAACCACTCGTTCTTCTATTGGAGCAAAAAGAGATGGTAGGAGAAGTTCCATTAACAAGGACATTATAGCCGTGTCTGATGATCTCTGAGTCGGCTCACATAGAGTTTTCATCTCCACCCTGCTATTTTCCTTGAATGCATGTCAAACTTATCAATTGTTTCTATAGCACTTTTCATATGGTTGCTACCTGAGAAACCATTTTCTCTTTCCATTTTCACAATGACACATTTGTAGTTTTGCAAATATATTTAAATGTATAGCCCACTCAGTCATGAGACACACAGGAGACAGAACTGTACTGCTCACATTCAAATAAAATTGTGATTCTTCCTTTTTACTGGCTTAACTTTGACTCCCAGAAGGTAGCCCCAGTGGATAGTGGGCATTGTTTCCAAAAGCAGTCACAACCTCCTTCCCACATATTTATATACATTTGTCAATTGAGGATAACATTTCAGGCATCTGATGGAGTGCAGTCCACAAAAGCTTATGCCATAGCCTTTATGGTGCTTTACAGTTTTCTATTATATATAGTAAGTTTAAAGATAATTAGAATCAATGAAAGGTAGCGTTCCTTGGACTCCCATCTAATAGCACATAAATGGACTTCCATTCTCACCAGAAAACTTCCTTCGCTGCAACTCATTCAATCTATCTATTGTTTAATTTCATGTAACTCATGACTTCAACAGCTTAATCATTTTTGTGTGTATAAGATATGATGCAAGCAATCTATTTTTGTTTTGCATAAACAACTGACCCTTTCTACAATAATAAGCCGATTATTTGAAACTTCCAAGAACTTTTGTGAAGATCCAGTTTTGCTACTCCTATGCATAAATCAATTCTGTACTACTACAAAACTGTCTTTCAAAAGGTGCCATTTATTTATTTAAAAGGTTTGCAAGTCACCTTTCTAGGGTAAAACCTCACAAAGCAACACTGAAAATTAAGCCAGAGAATGAAGTAAAACCATGTTCAAGACAATAATCCAGGGGAATCACCTAAAATCTGTGAGAGGATACATTAAAAAAGCATATGATTATTTATTTATTAATTCATGAGAATTAATTAATCCTTCATGAATAATCAATGTTTCAGTAAAAATGTTCTTAAATTAAAGGCAATCTTCCCAAATTATCTGTAATATTTCTACATTTCTTTTCAGGCGTAGGAACGGACCTTATGAATTTAATTCAAGTGGAGAAAAAAAATGCAAATGTTAACAAGATTTCAAATAATTTTACCCATTTAGTAATGCATGAAATATCCTGACCACCATATAAAAAGATTTAACTGAGTTTCCTTCAAAAAAAGTTGATGCTCAGATTAGTGACTTTCAGGAAAGCAAAAAGAAAAAAAAAAGGGGGCCACTGAACATCCACACACACTTTTAAATAACCATCATTTCCCTTTTGCTGAGCAATGTAAAAACTGTAATAGTACATAGAAAGAGGGGGAGGGGAAGGGAAATAAAGAGAGAGCGAGCGTTCTCAAGCATTTTGCACATGATAAACGGAATTCAGCACTGGAAAAACCTTACAGCCAATGGCAGTGAAAAGGCGGCAATCATTGGTTGGGTGTGGTTTGCATTTCTACAGACAGCTCTGAGGAGAAAGGTGCCAAAAGGCTTTAAGAGGTAAGGCTGTTTGAAAACCAAAGCTCAGTTTACAGGACAGAAGCTACCCCTTATTGCCATTGCATCTTTGTAGCAACTACTCTGGAGTCTTTAAAAATCTCTCCTTAAAGCTTTAGAAAAGAACCTATGGGGCCCAGCTCCCGCTGTGCCCATATAAGGTAAGTTAAAACCACGCTTATGATGGTGTTCAAGCTCACTGATCTGAATTAAGTGGCACAGCACTCTCTGAGGCAGTTCAATAACATCCTGTAGTCTGTGACAGTTTAATGAGAAACACATTCCTCCCTTTTTAAATGAGCTCTGCACCCTGCCCCAAACCACCCAATACTCTGACAGTAAATCGTCTCCACTACATATTAAGTTCTACTACTAGGCCTCAGCTTGGCTTCAATGAAAACTGAAAGTGTCTAATCTACTCTAGAGTGGCAGCCAACTAATGTCTCTTACTTCTATTGTAATGAAAGCTATCTTATAGTTCTTTAGCAAAGGGCAATGTGGGTTGTGTGTTATCCTTTCATCTCATGTTGTTAAAGATAGCTCACTGGTTTTGGTGGGTTTTTTTTTTTTTAACGTTCTGTGGTTTATACTTTTGAGGGACCTTGAGTTTCTACTTTCATCCTATTTCTATTTATCAGTCATTCTTGGGTGTAGGGCAGCCTTTCCTAACATGGCCCCTTCCGGATATTTTGGATGAGAATTCACAGCTTTCCTGGCCATTGTCCATGCTGACTCGGGTTGGGAGCTGCAGTCAAGAAATTTGGAGGGCATCAGGTTTGGCAAGGCTGGTCTAGGGTCGGACTATCAACCAATCTGGTCATTGCTGGTTATTAGTTTCCTTAGTTCCAACAGTGTGCATGAACTTTCCATAGGACAAGAAATTGGTCCCTGCCTTCAGGAGCTTCTAAAATGTGACACAGGAGAAGCAACAGAGGGAGCATTTTTACATGCTCATTTACATATTCTTAGGCTTAGCTACAGACTACTGTATTTTTCTGTGTATAAGATGATACTTTTTCTTAAAAAATACTTATCTAAAAATGGAGGGGCATACACGGGGGGCCAAAGGAGAACTGCGGGCGCACTCGGGGCGGGGGGAAGAATGGGACGATCGCGGGCATGCTCAGGGGAGGCGGGTGCTGGCGCGACCAGGGGGTGGGCACAGGCACAATCGGGGGAGTCTGGCATAGGCGCGATGAAGGGGAGACTGGTGCGGGCACACACTTGGAGATTGGTAAAAGTGGGGGGCATCCTATACATGGGGGCATCAAACAGTCAGAAAAATACGGTAATTTATGCTAGGTAGCTTTCCCTAGTCTAGCATGTTTTGGACTCCCAGCTTCCATTAACCCAAGTTAGCATGGCTAGTGGCGAGGGTTGTTGTTGTTAGTCGCAAAGTTGTGTCCGACCCATTGCAACCCCATGGACAACATTCCTCCAGGCCTTCCTGTCCACTATCATTCCCTGGAGTCCACTTAAGCTCACACCAACTGCTTCAGTGACTCCATCCGGCCACCTCATCCTCTGCCGTCTCCTTCTTTTGCCATCTACTGTTCCCAGCATTAGGCTCTTCTCCAGGGAGTCCTTCCTTCTCATTAGGTGGCCAAAGTATTTGCGTTTCATCTTCAGGATCTGGCCTTCTAAAGAGCAGTCAGGGTTGATCTCCTCTAGGACTGACTGGTTTGATCGCCTAGCAGTCCAAAGAACTTCCAGGAATCTCCTCCAGCACCACAATTCAAAGGCCTCAATTCTTCGGCTCTCAGCCTTCCTTATGGTCCAAAACATTTGCAGGCATAAGGCTGGGGAGGGCTCCACTAAGGCATAGGGATGGGACAAAAGCTTCATGGAAAATAAAATTAGTGGAGATGAGGAGGCTCAAGAAATAAGACTGGTGGCACCATTACAGATATTCTAGGAGGTATTTACAAGCAAACTGTGTAGCCAGAAAGAACTGAATCCCTTGTTAGAGCAGGAGAGAATGGATGGCTGATATTTGTGGAATTGAAGGAATCAATGTTGTGAGCAGATTGCATCAGAATGTAAAGAGAGAAGGACAGCCAAGGTTATGAAGGGCTTTGAAAGTAAGGATGGGGATTTTGTGCTGGATCCTGAGACTGCCATGACGTTGGTGCAAGTTTTTTAAGGAGGAACATCATATGATCAGAGAAACAATAGGGGGACCAAGATGTGACAGCAAAGGACCAGAGAGGAGAAACTGCAATTGTCTAGAAAGAAAGGTAATGAGGATACTGATCAGTTTTTGTTGAGCAGAGGAGGAGGATGTTCTGTATTTGCACAATTCTGTATAAGTATTTATACACCTTGAGTATGATCATTTCATTTTCTTCCTTGGTTAAGAATGGTTGGCTCACCATGAAAACAAATGTTCCACCCTTGCTTTTCTGTTTCTTAATAGTAACAGCCTGGTAATAAGATGTAACAGCATGAGGGAGAAGGTATAGTGATGATTAGCAAAGACAGTTGTTCAGGACACAGACCGCAGGCAAAAGGAAACGGTGTACTGTCCTAACTATCCTAAAACTGAATATATCTGCCTTTAAATCTGCCACAATAATGATCCTGTAATTTATTTATTTATCTGTAGTATTTATATACTGCTAAATATGATAACATCCCTAAGTGGTTTACATATAAATATTAAAATTGCACTATCTATAGCACAACATTAGTCTTATCCATCCTATTGTTAAATTGCTAGGTTAGGTTAAATAGTATCCCTATTACTCTGATATGAATGACATTAACTAGGAAATGTTGCAAAGGCCAAGTGAAATACAGAGTATCCTAAACGCTCCTAAAAATGTTGTAAGGGATGCCCATCATTTCTGAAAGCAGCTTCCGATACAGGACAAAGAGCTGCAGTTTTCAGTTGTCATGGATGGTGGGGAACACAGTGCTGAATGCATCTACATGGGCTCTTTGTGGTGCAGCCACGTAAATATTTCCAGTAAAGCATGGTGTATTGGAGTATAATTGTTTAATATACACATGCAATCTGTATCATGCCATGATCCTTCTATTTTCCTATTACCTTATTAGAGATGTGAAGGACTGGAACACATGAGAAAAATTCAGAAAGGGTTTTGTTTTGTTAAAATTGAAAAAAATGGATTATGGAATATTCAGATTGATGAATGCTTCAGAGAAGGTATCCGCCTATTACCCCAAAACGTTTTCTAAAAACTATGAAATAGATGTTTATGTAAGTCTATATACTGTATCAGGCTATGGCAATTCTTGTGCCTACAACTCTCAAATGCAGGAGCAAGTGCAATTCAGCCTCTGGGGGGCACTGCCATTGTCACAAGAAAAGGAATAGGGTTTCAGTTTCTTCTGGGCTTCCTCTGGTTGGATCTC